CAATGTACAGTTCGTCGCTCTGGGTTCAGGCTTGTTTTCTTGCTCTGCTTCTAATTTGCTTCTCTGGGAAATTTTTTGTCCCCTTCTGTTGACCTGCATTTCGTATCACACCCAAAACCGAGCTAACCTGGTACGCCTCGGAGAAGGGCATGGAGCGGAGCTCTATTTTGCAGCCTCTCCGGCTGTTTTAGGCAAGCTTCTGTTTGTGAACATCTGCAGCAGGGGTTAGTCTGGTGCAGACCTGAAATTTTGGAAAGGACAGACACCATAACACACTTAAATAAATTGTTCTTAGCTTTAATTGCACCTCGGAATTTATTGTCTATTACCCGTACCTCCAACACTGGCGAGACAGGAATTCTTAGCAACCAGCAGAGGGGAGGTGGGGGGGGGAGCACTTAAGCAGGTAAAAAACTCCTGCAGTGGCATTTTAAACTGAATACTGATTTTATTTGCTTTGGCTATTAGTCCCATATTGGGTTAAATTTAAGTTTCACGTCGGTATAAAGCAATGTGCGTGCAAGTTCCACCAGACAGCTGGTGTCCAGGGGACTATTTTCTATATGAGAACTTTGAAGAAACCCAGAAGAAATACGTTTTTCAGGTGTCCAAAGAATTTAGCAGGGAAACAAACAAACAAACAAACAAAAAGGCAGAGTGTATAGCCCGCAATCGCACTGCTGCCAGATTCGCGAATAGTGTTTGGCCTGAAATTAATCTTTCCCCATATTTATTGACTTCAGGAGATAATCCTGGAATAAATGGAGGCATCTGGGGGCATCAGGAAATATTTCCCAGCCTCGTCAGAGCGTCTGCTTTAGATTCATTCAATCTATTGTGTGCAATTTTTCCTCCCTCTTTTTTTTTTTTTTTAATAAAAGGAGGGGTGAAGAAGGAACAAAAGGAAGAGAGAAAGAATTTGGGCAGGCAAAAAGAGAAGAGGAAGGGAATGAGAAAGACGAAAGAAAGTAGCGGGGGTGGGGTGGGGGAAAGGGGGCGGGGGGGGGTGGGGGGGGGGGAAGGAAAGTTTATTCCCTTGCAGGGCTCCAAACGCGAGCGAAGAGGCATGCTGCCGGGTGGAAGTTGGAGCCGGCCGCAGGCTTACTTTCGTTTCGCTTATGGAGAGATATGAACCCAGCACCGCCCTTAATTGCTCCTCCAAGGCGCAGGGT